CGGCTATCTGCTTTCTGAGTTTGATTCACGCGTGCCGATCCAGGAAAACGACAAAGAAATTCGAATTCTGGAATCACGGTACTATTGCAAATATAATAATATACATATTCAACAAACCTCAACGGATTCTCCTCTGCAGATACCGTAGGGTTACAAAAATAAGGCGGTACAATTACCAGCCTGAGGATAAAGCGCAGATCACTACGCCTCAAAATCGATGTCGTCACAACCAAACAGATATCGACGGCGAGCAACCGCAAAATCACAATGTCCGATCAAAGCCCGTAAGATTTATAAAAATAGTTCAGTAAAACAAGAAGGTTTCAGTTCATCTGGTCAAGGGGAATAAATATGGGGATTGGCTGTCACTTGGGGTTGGAAACGGGAGCACACTGTTGGCACGCTGTCTTCTACAAATGCTTTTGCTACAACCCCACGAGGGATCACTCGTTATTGCCTCTCATACGAACCTTACCCGCCCAATGAATATCTCATTTATGTCTGTATAGTTATACGTCGGCTCTGGATGTGTGCATGAAGAGGCCGCTTAAATAATCTAAAACTACATAATAAAAAACGTTAAAACTTAGAAAAATACGGAGTGCAACTCGAATAAGCACTTGAAAACACCGTTGCAGTGCGCAAATACTAACACAAAGTTAATAATGAAAGTCCTTCGCAGCGTTTCAGGAACCCCTCATAAGTTATAGGAGCAAAACTTGAAGGTGTACGGTAAAAGTGATGTCTTACATAAATATGCTGAACGCTGCCAAACAAGTGATTTGTGCCGAAGTTTGCTGAACAAGTTCATCTAACTTGTTACTTCCGACGGGCAAAACGCATACGAAAGTTATTCAACCATTCCCCTGGATAGAATGTGCATTGGATATTCCGTACATTTTATCTCTTATGTGAATAATACCTCGGAATTTTAAAATAGGCTAGGAGTTGGTTTCGCACCTTGGTTACCTTGAATGTTTGCATAGTCAAACAAAATTTCATGGCCAACATATCACCGAAACGTGCAACCAGACTGGATTAGCCCACAACAAAACTCGCAAATTCGGAAATCTATGGCCTCGGAAAAATTAACTTCGGCTGGCATCTCGTGGGCGCCTGCCTAAAGTCGATCGTTAGATGTATGCCCCAAATTCCTCTGGGAGCAGAGCTCGAGCAAAAAAGTTTCAGCAAATATTTCCTGAATCGATCCTTTACGACCTATGTATGCAGTCGCAGCTTCGTTGACGGTTGTTTAAACAAGCTCAGGGCCTAGTTTAGACGCAGGATTTCTATTTTTAATAGCTGAGAGACTCAGCCGGATATACTTGGGAAGTTGGTGGATAATTTTGCTGCAAGGTTAGCACCTTCATATCTTTTCTCGTTTGGTGCATTCGAAAGTGCTTTCAAAGGGTAAATAAGCAATAATTTTGTAGCTATCGCTTACGTAACCCCCCCTATAAAATGTTTCTGTCGTTGCGGCAGACTTCCTTCTGAATAATCCCAGCAGACACGAGCCACCTAAATGCGGCCAGGTATTTGCAATGCCGAATCAACTGGTTAGATTTAATTTATGTCGCTCGTCAAGGAGCGAGATGAAAGATTGTGTTTTATTAGGGATTTTCCTGTGGGAAATGTATGGATTTCTTCGTGCGTAGTGTTCAACGAGCTGTTGACTTTTTCAGCTAGAGGAGGATAAGTTGTTTTTTCGGAACATCACGGTGAGTCAGGTGGCTGAAAAACCGGAAACAATGCTTAGTCAGTTCAACTGCGAAAATCTCGTTGAACCGCTGTTAAACGGAGCGATCCTTAGCGACTGTTTCACGCTGGGGCAGCTGTTACTCGTTGTCACTGAGTAATGAGTTGTGGTAAAGGAGGACCCTATTACAACTGGTGGCCTTTCCATGTCACATGGGGTCATCGTCTCCTTGACACAATTAGCATTCCACAACATTAACCCTGTAATTGTGCTATTAGCTCACAACTGTCGAATTCCTCCTCCCCGGATAAGTAAAGTCGAATGCATATGGACTTCCAGCATGCGTTGCGCTATGGTTGTGTCCTACGGTCCAACTTGATATCATAACACACCTCTGTAGACCGTGTAGCAACCTCAACTGCGTCCTCTCTAGAAGGGCTGGGGCTATGCAGAAAAAATAAATTGATTAAACGCGCACTCACCTGTGGACCACCAGCGCACAGGCTGCAAGGTTATCCATCGCAACACCCAATGAATTCGGTACGCGATATTTGTATTCCAGCGACCGTTGTTACCCATAGGCGGGTCAAAAAGCACACAAGTCCAATACTGTGTCCCTAGACCACCATCTTGGCTGCAGCGTGTTATACTCGACCACCGACGGCAGATCCTCGGGCACACTCGTCCTACAGAATTCGCCTTCGAGTTAACCACTGCGTGTGTGTGTATCAGAACAAGTGTCAACCGTCTGAGAGTACTTGGGAGTCTGCGCAAGTGACTACTTGAGTCAGCGTAGATTTACCTTACGTTGCCTGTTCCAATACAATACGTCACTGTCCCAAGTTCCTCTAAATCGATGATGTACGACACGTACTTGCTACCGTAGGCTCTGCAAATGTGGGAACAGCACACAACATTGCAACCAAATACTAATATTTCCGTGCCTGTTTGTGTCTTGAATTTGTCCATGAGGAACGTCTTCACTTGATGCTTTTCGCTGATTATCTCAAAGAAAAAGGCAAACAGTTTGCGAATAGGTGCAAAGTGTTCGCGGTTCACAAACGCACACGTTAACTAATCCGGTAACCATGTCATCTGCGGCTGGTTGTGGAGCTTGCATATAGGGACCAGGTTTTAGTTGCTTTAAAAAACTTACCGGTTTTCGAATGTGTTCTATCGCTATCTGCTAAATTAGTAAAGAGTCGAAACAGCACTGTCTGCTGTCACCTGGGGAAGAGTATGTGGCTTTTTTACCAACCAAACCGCAGGTACAAGCCCAGGTTAGCGAAGGCGTGCCAATACTGAACGCTTATCTTCTGTCGCCATAAAGCATAATAGTCACTCACCCATCAGGTATGGTCGATACTTCAGGCTGTAGATGTATATGTCCCAAGTGCTAAGGAAGTTGTCGAGTTCACCGGCTGCAAACTCCCGCACTTATCACGAGGGCGTTCCACAGTTCATCAGTGTCCTGCTCAACTCTTCCTAGATTCACGGATTCACGGATTGATACACAGGACTGAGGCTTTTGCCCAAGATTCCCGGATCAGTTTTGTTCTTGTAGCTCAGCGGCTATTGTTCACTTGAAAGGGACAAGTAAAAAAAGGGTATAGCACCGCTCTTTGTGTTCTCAGCGCGGGGTAGTATGCTTACCAGCGCGAGGATTCGCATAAATAAATGTCTAGCAGTGCTTTGAAATGGGTTCTAGAAGTAGCATGTACAACCGTCTGAAGAAGGTCACTCCACGCAGCTGCTACCCGAAATCAGAATAATTTTGCCTAATGAATGCGTGCGCTTTTACCTTGAAAATCTTATTACTATGCCCCTGCCGTGTGTTTGCTGGGTCGACGGTGTAAAACATGTTGGCCGTCTCTTCACTGGCACTCGACCGTACAAAACCTTTGAAACCTTATGACTGATAGTATGATACTCACATGATCATATGGTGATGATTTAACACGATAATGAGAGGTTACTTCGAGGTGGATTCCCTCTCTTTCACAACATAAAAGTAGCGAACGTCTGGTGCTTCGCGTACGGCTAATTAATATCAAGTGCGCTTAACTAACCAGCTTATTTGGATTCCCCCTGTTGTTTTTCCTGGCTGCATGAGGTATTAAAGTACACCCATTCGTACTGCGAATCAGCATTTGTACTTCGATCACCAAATAGTGGTCCTTCGTGAATTCTTAAACCATTGTCAAACGCCACGAAGGATGAAAACCTGAGACTTATCATGTTCTTATCGAATTCGCCTGAAGCTGTTTCTGAAGCCATATTAGTGTCGGTCTAAAACCGGATGCACACCTTTACGTAAAATGAAATCCGTTGGAAAGTTCCCACACAATGCGCTAGCATGGAGTCCTTTTTGGTTTGAGCATGCATAAGCAAAATGAAGTACATTTACGTATACACTTTGATTAGGCCGACATGTGCTTTGGAAAAAGGGCATCGGCCGAGTAAATATCCGCCGTGACACATTACTGCTGATATGGCGCCATATGGGCGCTCAGAATTCGCACAATGGAATTCAATTTTCGAAATCCACCACTTGATTACAACAGACAAACGGTTGAGTGCAGAGTAGCAGTCTAAACTGTTGAGTTCCGGGGTCCCAGTGAAACTCGCAAACTACTTCAGCAGAATTTTTCCGCCAGAATTGTGATTGCTTCAGTGGGCAAGGAAATTTGGTGAGCTGCAAAAATACGGGAGCAGATTAGAGTGGTTTTTGGTTTGAGCACATACACAACAAAATGCAATATTTTGGCGAAAAAAGGTATATTTCTTTTGCAACTGTTTTGCAGCCAAGAGCATTGCGTGGCCAAGGAGCCCCGTTCAGGGGCGCTGTTCCTTAGCCGACAGAAGCTCGTTTATCGAAAACCTTAACCTATCGAAGAAAATTTTAACGTAAAAATATGAAACTTGCTCATTGCATCCTCACACCAAAAAACCACCATAATCTTTCTTTGTTTTGTTGGAATCTGTATTATACAATCTCATCTGCCGTAACAATGGAGGGGGGTCCTTAATCCCTAAACCTTGAACTACGAGCTTTGGGCTTCACGCCTGATGACGTTACAATGATACATCTAGAACAGGATTTTTTCATTTTAAAGATAGTCATAGTATGTGTGTCGGCTCTCAAAGTTGGTGCACTCAGGCCCAATGTGCAAGCCCCTGTCAGTGTTTAAATACACGGACCGCTTCGAAGCGCTGTTTTCGACTGTCCTGACGTGCGTACAAAATGGGCAGGCGGCCGGCTCGATGGTAGGATAAAATATAGTTTATTGTTTCATTAAATTAGCTATCGGTATTGCAAAAACAAGCCATATCCGAAGTCCCGGTTCTGTCGGGGGGTCCCTGATCCAAAGATTCGAATTTATGATCTCGGTCGGAAGAAAGCTGACGTACAGGAATTCCCACTTTGTGTGCATCTAATATCCGACGAGTATGAGCAACTTTCCAGCGAGGCTTTGGAGGCTGCGCGTATCTGTGCGAATAAGTATCTACTGAAGCACTGTGGGAAAGAGAACTTTCACGGGCGTGTGCGTGTGCATCCCTTCCACGTCATTCGCATAAACAAGATGTTGTCATGCGCTGGCGCTGATCGGTGAGTCTCCTCAATGCATATCATTTTCCCCAGTTTGCAGACCGGTATGAGAGGTGCCTATGGAAAGCCGCAGGGCACTGTTGCTCGTGTAGACATTGGACAAGTCATCATGTCAGTCCGCGCGCGAGATCAACACCAGGCGCAGGTGATGGAAGCCCTGAGACGCGCTAAGATGAAGTTTCCAGGTCGCCAGAAGGTGCGTTCCGTTGATAATGTGTCGGGTGTGTAGTTCGCTTTAATACCCTACAAAGTGGTGATGCGGACAGTACTCCATGATCTTGTTGTCCGAGCTTAGAAGCACCCAGAAACCCAGTATTAGATTCACTTGTATATCTCATAGGTAACTGCCTCGAAGCTTTTTTTCTTAAATGCGAGCGGTCATACTCGGTGATCTGTTCATTTCACTCATCCTTCTAACTCAGTGGAACTGCACCCCAGCGACATGAGTTTCTCGTTTATGCATACTTCCCAGCGGGTTGCTGTTGTTAAATGGTACCATTGTAGTAACGATTCAAAGTTGACCAGTTTTCGATGTTTGTTTTATAAACACTAATGCTGATTAGTGTAAGGAAAGTCAAAGCAGACAATCTTGGGGTAGCTTCGACTCATTTACTGCACCTACCAGAAATGGCGCAGAACGAGGCCACCCCGTCCCTGGATGCAACGGTCGAAAGTGGAGTGGTTCTGACCACTGGGCTGTCTCGAGCTCGTAAAGAAATGTAGCCAGTTTTAAAAACAGCAACCTCATCCTGGAAGGCGTACAACAACAAAACCCAAGCCCTTCGTCATCTCTTTCACGCCTTTCTGCCAAGTCATGTGCTGTCCACCTCGCGGTTCGAGCCATCCTGAAGGAGGCACAGAGAACAACACTCGTCTCGGTAGACGGTGTTTCGGCATGCGTAGCACATGACCGAGCCATCGTAGTCGATGATGCTGGATGTTTTCCCGGATTGAGGTGCCTGCAGCACAACCAAATACCCGTTTTCTAATCGCCTCGTT